ATAGTTTTGGGGGTGGGTAGAACTCACCCACCCAAATCTCTAAGGATTTACAAGTGAGGTCACTTCGATTTAAAAAAAAAAATTTTTAAATTAAGGATTGATTTACATAAAGTGGAAGGCATAGATCTAAAGTGTATAAGTCAGTGATTTTGACAAATGTATACAGCAGTACAGCCACCACCCTAACCAAGCTGTCTTTTGTGTGCTGGCTCAGGCTTTCATGCAGAGCTTACACATCAGGAACCCCCACTGAGGAAGACACAGACCTTTCCTCGTGCCTGAGGCCATCGCAGTGTGTGCAACAAAAGTGGCATCGAGAAGTCGGAATGGAGTCAGTGGAACTAGAGTAGTGAAGCAGAATGGGGAGTAGAACTGAGTCACCGACTAACTGATTCAGTCCTGAAAGGCTGTGGTGTCAATGAATCTGGGCAAGAATCTGCATGGAATGGGCCTGTGGGAGTGTCACAGTGGTCGAGCTTGGAATTGACTCATGACACCTAGATTCTTTCCACACCTGACAGAGCCGTCAACCCACTATCTGTCTTTGCATAAATCACACCACAGCTCGGTGCCTCATTCTCTAAACCTTGTAAAACAATGAGAGTGGACTGAACGCTTTTCTGTGTCATTCTGGCTCTAGCAATTAAAACAATCCTGTGCTGATGATCTAGACAGGGCAGTTTCACTGCATGATGACTCCAAATTCTCCCTCGTTCACTTAACACAGACACAGCGCCCACCTCCCACCCCGCAACCCCCAGCAGCTGTTTGGTGCATTCTGCAAACTGGGACTCTTGATAAAGAGGACCCAAGAAAGCAGGCGTGGAGACTCAGTTGATGTCAAGATAATGTAACTCAGCTGACACATATTTATATCCTAGTGTCTGCTGAGAACTTCATACTTCGCTGTCCTCTGCAAAGGCATTTGGGACAGTGGAACTAGAAAACATTTAAGAAAAGAATAAAAGCGATCTGGAAGTAAGAAATTCTCTGTAATCCCAAAGATGTTGGGTCTTTGTAGGAAAACTAGTTCTCATCTTGTCCGTCCAAATTCTAACTGAACTGCAAGGCCCAGTTCAAACGTCACCTTCTCCTGGGAAGCCTCTCCTAAGCCCCTAGCTAGAGAGGCCCATGGTGAATTCCTGTGGCCCTCTGCTTGCACCTTTTTATACGCATGTACCCAGTACTATCGTTACATGCACGCAACTCCTATAGACAGGCTGAGGTAACAGGTTATGGTCCTTTCAAATTTTCACAGGCTGGTTAAGTGCTTTGTACATGTTAAGTACAAAATCCTTTTTTAAAATGAAGAAATAAATGTCAGGTTTAGGGTAAACTGAATTATGTCTCTCTCTTTTTTTAATTATGTCTTTTAACGAAGGAATTTATCTCCTATAATTTTCGAAAGTAGAAAACTACCTGAAATGAGGTCTTAAATCCTCCTGAATCCTCACCGCTGTGTGCTAGCCCACAAGATGCATCATTGTCTTTCGCTAAAATGATTGTCAATTTAGAAAATACTATAAAAGTTGAAAGATTATCTGCACTAGATATTAAAATAATTGTGTACATTTGCACGGCACTTTGAAGCGTGTAAGAAAACTGCAGTGGCAGCTAACTTCTGGGCGTGGGAGTGAGAGCTCAGGGAGGTCTGGCAACTTCTATTTCACTCCTGAAAGCACTCGTCTGTATTGTTAGACGTTTTCCTGTAAGCATATATGGTTGTATTATTTAAACGATGTTTAATGAAAGCTAAAGTTTACAGAGAGTTTTGACAGGTATATTCATTTGGTTATATGTATTTAATTACCTGTATAATTAAATACGATACACATGATGCATCATAATGCATTTTATTGTTGAAAAAATGGAATCTCAAGGTTAAATAACTTGCCCAAGAGTTAATTACAGAATCAAAAAACAGTGTGCTTATGTAACAAAAAGTACAGGAGAGGGAAATTTATATTCCATTCATATTCTGGTCCATCCAATGAGGACCTTGTCATTAGGCCAACATAATTTATTAAGTGCACACCCTGGGCCAGGACCTGCTGTTCCCCTCCTAAGAGCTACAGGGACTGTGCACATCACCATGGCTGCACGTTCCTTCGGACATGACACATACATGAAGTATACAAGAGACTTGCTCATTTATGTCACCTCCTAAATGGATTCTAGGAAGGAAATGTTGCCTGTATTGGTTTTTGTTTTCACCTGTACAATTTGGAAGCCATCAACCAAATGATGTTATCCTGTTCCACGTGTAAATTTTTTCCAGGCATCTCAGGGTACACCCAGATAAGCACTGCCTTTGGAACCTAACTAGCACAATGATTCATTCAGTCAACATTTAACAGGTAGAAATAGAATCAATGTCTTATTGGCTCTGCCTCAGATGAAAATGAGAAGGGAAAAAAAAAAAAAAAGTTAGTTTTTAATGCCTGGTTCCTACACATCATGGATCATTCCAGGGGTGTCATGTCTTAAGAAGTGACTAAGAACAGCGATTAGGTCTGGTGTCCAAGAGTTTGCCCGGATAGTTTTGTTGGAAAGATGGAGCCCACGGCGACAGAACTTCCAGCTAACTGCAGCCTCTTGCTTGGGTCTCCTGTGTTAATCAGTGTAAAAGAGCTAAACTTCCCCCCAAACAAGTGTCTTTTATCCCAGTGAACAACTTCCCCATAATCAGTGGATTTATCACATCCTAGCTAGAGCCAGCCTGGAAAAGCTGTCATGGCTTCATAAAATCCCAGGCTCAAGTGGACCTTGAAGGTTATCTAGGTGAATAACTTTCCATCACGAGAGTCTCTCTCGGCTCCTCCAGTGTATGCTTGAATGGGCTAATTAGCAGGCTGCTACTCGCTTAAGAGTGTGTGACTTTAGCTCGGTGGGTTCTCAGTCCCTCATCAGATGGAACTGTGCTGTCTGAATTTTCCCTCCTCTCTCCCTTTTTATTTCAATTATCCATCCTTTGAGGTCCACTTGAAGTCCTGCTCCTTCGTTCAAGATCTTCCACTGACCTACTCCCTCCTGGCCATCCTTCCTCTGAGCTGCACAGTCTGGCAGGTTATAAATAACTGTCAGTGCTGAGTCTGACACAGGTCTGCACTATCTCCGAATCCAAATACTAGGTGTCTTAAGGCTAGAGACCATGTCTTTTCCTCTCAGGTCACCTAATCTATAGATGGCCATACCGATGGTGTCCGCCCAAAACTTGTGAAATGCGCAGAAAGTGCCCTGGCCACTCCTCTCCAGTGTTCACTTATGGACTGTATGCTGACTTCCTGAGGCTCAGGTCTGATCCCATCCATCAGAATGGGTTAAGGTAGTCAACAAGCAGCCACTAGTGCTTCTCCAAGGGACCAACTATGCTGCTACTTCCCCTTCTGTTCCTGGGAGCGTGTGTCCCTGCGTTGGGTTACCACACGAGTCACTTTTTCAGTTGGAAATTAGCGTCTGTTAAGTTTTCAGTCATTGTAGGTTATTAAGCAAAAGGTGCTTAAGAGTGTGTAGTATATGTGTGTGTATGTGAGTATGAGAGTGGGAGAGTTTGTGTTTGTGAACAAATATAAGTGTGTGTGGAGTGAAGGTGGGTGTGTACGTGTAAAGTGCATGTGGTATGTGGGTGCAGTATTGTGACGTGTGTGTCAGTACAAGCATGAGTGTGTGAGTGTGCATGTGCATGCACAAGTGTATGTACATGCCACTGGGCACAAGCCTTTGCTAACGTTCTGATTGAAATGTTGTTTCTTCTATTCCTTGGACCTGCGTGGATCAACTAAGCCAGAGGTCTCCAAACATTTTTGATAGCAAATGCCAGTAAAAATTTTTTGATATAGATTTGCTTATGTTATAAACATATACTAGTGGCCATCCATATATTAAACATTAAAGTGAAATCACTTTGTTTCCTTGGCAAGAAAATAAACACTTATCCCGGTAGCTCATCTTGCCTAGCCTGTGTTGACTGCAAATCCCACAGTCAAGGCCACTCTTCTAACACACAATGGCCCCTACTCTGGGTCCTCACCCCACTCCTAGACACACACACACACACACACACACACACCTGCTGAGGGCTTGCTTTGAGTCACTCAAAGCAAATGCCAGGCGATAAACTGGAAATGGGGTGCGTGTTCACTTGCTCCTGAGGATAACCTTTAGTTTGCACTGCTGATGCCAATTTCTAGAAGCCTAAAAGTGAGGTACAAGAGATGCAGAGATGAGCTCTAAAACGTGAAGCCAACCAAGCAAGGAGACTCTTTGAGGTTATATGGGGGCAGGGGTTCATATGTTTCTGAATGTACTTGTTGGCAGTTCACAGCCAGCCCAAAGTGATGAGGGGCTGGAATACACCACATCTAAGAAATGACAGCAGATTCCCGCAACAATTTACAAGTGTGCCTTAAAAGAGCATTAGCCAACTGCTGCTGGAATCATTTAAAACTTTTTTAATTCACTGCATTTTCTCTTAATGACACGGAATTCAGAATGTCTTCTTGGAAGCCTTAGTAATCTAGTGAAAGAGAGTGCCCAGATTTTACTCTACAGGAGAATACAGTACAAAATGACGAGAAGACAGCTAAAGGTCCACTCCAAGGCCTGACCACCTAACAGGAGTAAGGCTCATTAGGGAATGAAATGGTGAACCCCGAGGAAGGTGGCAGTGCTGGCTTTATACAGGACTGTCTCTTGTCTGTCACTACTGGGGTGCTACTAAGATAAACTCTTGAGATGTTTAATTAATAATGTTTCACACTTGCATCAAATTTCTTTTCTCCAAACACACCTATATCCACTATTTTACTAAAGACTCATAGTGATCTTATGAATGAGGCTCAGAAGAATTTAATGTATAGATTTTTTTTTTTTTTTTACATTATCGAGAAGAAACAACTCAGAGAGTGACAGTCCAGCACCTCCTCCACGCTGGCAGGATGCTCTGGGCTGGATTTCACTGGGACAGAAGCAGTAGGGTTGGTTGAGGTCGAAGCCAGTGGGGAATCAGTCGACTGCACTGGATTCTGGAGTGCTGACTCAGCCACAGGACTCCAGGAGGGCAGAGAGCTAAGCGCCAGAGTGAGTTACAGGATGAGGTGCCCACTATGCCTGACTGGGTGAGAAGACTGGCCTCTGCCCTCAGGGGTTTACAACCTAATATATCACACACGGAGCCAATGTTTCTGAGACATGTAAATGTGAGAAGAAAACTGGCGTGATTTTGTAAGTATAAGCTTTCTCAGTTTAAGCAAATCTGTATGTGTGTTCCTTTTTGTTCCGAAAGTTGCTGAGTAAGATAGGATGCAATGAGTTTATGGTCAATTAGTCAAGAAAAGATAACATTTAGGCAAAAGAGAAGGAGTCCTTAAGTTAGGAAAGAATGCAAATTGGAGGCCAGGAAAAATTTGCTCACTGAATAAACAGCTGCCAC